CATTTACAGCTCCGTAAAATAACCTACTGGAAGCTCTGTAGTTTTGCTGTATAGGCCTATAGATAAAAATATTAAAATTACAAACACACAATAACATTTTAAGTTACTTCCATTTCTAAAAAAAGAATGTAGGCCTAGTAATTGATGTTATAAATACACACGCCTGATTTTTGTTTTAATCGTACATAAAAAAAGAAAAAACATTTGCAATCAAGACGGAAAAAAGCCAGAAGTGAATGTAAACCAGATTTGGCCCAGACTCTGTTGCTATCTGTGAAGCCAAGCACAAGAATAGCATACTAATGTAAATTTGTTAACCCACAGTAACAAATTTTAACAGATTAATCGCATATTTACTTTGCTGCATGCTTTTAAAAACACAATAAATTTTTTTTTTTGTTTGTTTTTTTGAGGAAAATCAAAAAAAGATACGTCTCGTAAAAGTTGCATTTTCAGAAATAATAATGGCAGGCCTAATAATGTTATAATGTACCAACATTATGAACACTATAGGATATTTTAGTTCCCCTCACTTTACAAAAAATAATTTTAAGATTATTTAAAAATATATAATTCTAATGGATAAATATAATTGCAGTATATAATAATATATGCTTAGCAATAAACATGCCCCCCATCCCCCCCCCGTGGCGCCGAAGCTGGCTACACAGCAAATACAGTTTGTTTGCATTTGATTAAAATAATAATAATAAAATAAATGTTCAATTATGCAAGATGTTCTTGGCTGGACTTTGCACTTATGTCCAATGAATGAGGAACATAACTTACTTTTGAAACAGATCATATTTAGGTCTAGGAATGGCATAAAGCGATGCCACTTTACAACAAGTTCTTATTATTTAAGGTTAGTTCATGCTTGGGCTGCAACTAATGATTATTTTGATAATCAATTAGTTGGCCGATTATTTTTTTCGATTAACCAATTAATCGGATTTTTAAAAAAGCCCAATTTTCTTTTTTTTTTTGTTTTATTGACAAAAAAAAACACTATTCCACATTCTGCCCAATGTCCTTCAAACAAACGTGCCAACTGAATGCTGTGAAAACATACAGTGCTTAATTAATTAGACCACCTGTCATAAAGAGAAAACACAATATTTTAGGAATCTGTCAAAAAAAAATTTAAATCTAAAAATGTTATTGTCATTTATTGGGCAAAAAACAAACTGAAACAAATAAATACTATTTATTCACATAATAACAAAAATGGCCTCCTATGCCTTTCATAAAAGTTTGCATTCTTGCTGGCATTGTTTGGGTACTTTTTGACTGTAATTGGGCATCTGGAAAAAACACTATAAAATGCTTGACTATTTTTTCATTCCTTTCTTTCATAGACAACAGCAATAATCATATTATAGCATTAGAAATAGCCTACTACTGTTACTAAAGAGCTTACACAAATTGGAGGACTAACCTATGCAGAAAGCTAAAAAAATATTTTGGTAATCGCCAATACTGTTAGTTTAGAGCAGCAGTGGCTCTGTCACGATCCACTACTGTGAGGAGCACAGAGCGAGGAGCGAGGAACGAGGAGACGTGGAGTAGACTTCTAACAAACAGACTTTAATTAACATCCAAGGAACCAGGAACACACATGCAGCGGGGAAAGACAAACATCCAATTCCAGACCAAGAAACTAGGAACAGGACGCACTATAAATACACTTGATGAGGGGATGATGAGACACACCTGGAACTAATGAACAATTAACATGGGAAAACTAGGTCAGGGCAGGCACATGACATGGATAGGGAAAAACACACAGATAGAGTTCAGGGGCGTGACAGGCACAAACCTTACATCATTTGTTAAAAAAAAATGTTAATGTATTTTTTTGTTTTAATAAATTTGTTAAGCACTGTATAGTGAATATAGTTTAAATCTCTCATTATCATTAAAACATTAAAAATTTAAATAAAAATCAAGATAATAAAGACGAATAAAATCACAAACTCAGTGGTAACCAATAGGTGAGAGTAATGTTCTGCAGGAACACGCGTTCACTTTGATCACAGTCACATCTTACTGTCATTTCTTTATCCTATAAAAGACAGTTATGAAGTTTCTGATATTTATATTCAGACAATTACACGCTGTTATCAGTTCCTATTCTCATAAAATGCGTGCACTTCATGTTGACTTTTAAACCTAAATTTAACATTCAACAACAGATATTTTAGCACAATGAATGCTTTGCGCTGAATATTAATTGTCTCCCTCTGTCCGTGTGCACGCTCATTCAGATTTAAACTTAACGCAGACTGTCAGGGCGGGCCTTTATGCAAAAATGCAAATGCTTGCATGAATTTGTGACATTTACAGTTAAGGATATGACCGTAAACTGAAAGTTTTTGCGCTGAGGATGCACACGCATCTGTTAAACTGCCTGACAGGGCAAGCCATTACGCTAATGCATTAAGTTAGTTTAAAGGGGTCATATGATGCTGCTAAAAATAACATTATTTTGTGTATTTGGTGTTATGAAATGTGTTTATGCGGTTTAAGTTTCAAAAAACACATTATTTTCCACATACTGTGCACTATTGTTTCTCCTCTATGCCCCGCCTTTCTGAAACACGTCGATTTTTACAAAGCTCATCGTTCTGAAAAGCAAGGTGTGCTGTGATTGGCCAGCTATCCAGTGCGTTGTGATTGGCCGAATACCTCAAGCGTGTGACGGAAATGTTACGCCCCTTACCATACTGTGATGCCGTCCGTCCAGAGCGACGAGACAAAAACATTAAAGAGAAAGGAAAAATTGAAATCGCATCATATGACCCCTTTAAAGTTTAAAATAAAGAATTCTCATGTTTTGGACAGCTTGGTTCACGTACTTCTCCCGCAGCATCTCGTTCTGTTTCCTCAACTATTTTTAGATGGATTTTGTAATTCAGTTCTGTAATTTGACGTGACCGGCTGAAGTTGGACGTGCACTGTGGGCAGACACGACTAATCGATAATGAGAATCGTTGTCGATTATTTTCATTATTTATAATAATCGATTTTATCGATTTATTGTTGTAGCCCTAGTTCATGCATTTACTAACATTGAGCAAAACATTTGTTACAGTATTTATTAATCTTTGTTAATGGTAGGTAATAAAAAAATGTAATCATGTATTAATTGTTGAAGTTAACATTAAGATTAATAAATGCTAATGTTAGCTAGTTTTAATCTTAACTCACTGAAAAGTTTTACCAAAAAATCAAAATAATATAAATAAATTGTATTTCTCAAATCCCCCAATCAGTGAGCTGTTGCAGTCATACTCTGCCACATAAACATGCCTCATTAAGAGAGCTGAAGGATTAATCCTGAGCCAGTAAGGCTATTCCAAGAAAATGACTGCATTGTGAAAAAGCACTACTTCCCTTAAGATCATACTGAACAACTGCAAAAGTCAAATTAAATCTTTAAATAGGGTTGTGGTAATTATCTCCCCACACGCCTTGGAAAGAACACCTCTGCCTAGTGGCTAAAGGTTGACTCCTTAATATCTTGGCTCTATAATGTGGTTCTTCAGAGGCTGAAAAACTCCAGACATTTTATGGAGCACCTCAGAATATCTCAAAGGCAAGTCACAGTCAGAATTATCCATCGGCTTCTAATAACATGGAAGCTGGTTTCGGGAAGTTTGTGCTGGAGCTTCAACAATTGCTGTAACGCATTTAGAGAAGCAAATGGTCATCAAATAGAGTATACTGGTTTTCACAGTTTGATCACAGAACCCATGTGCAAACCATGCATAATAAATTAAATTTGCAGCAAACCAGAAACTGAAGACACATTTGAGAGCATTTTGTAATTTAGTTAATAATTACTTGATTTATATGATTAAGTTGACCTTTACAGAACTGAACTTGCATCCCATCTCTTGGGTGAACTTTTTTTCAATTCTATATTTCCCATAAGTCAACCAGAAATGTTATTTTACTTGTTGTGTCTATTTCATTCCTGTCCCAAGCCGAATGTCTTGTTTGACATGTAATCAAGCAGCAACACACCCAGACAGAATCAACATCTAAGAGTTAACAGGAAAGAGCGAGTTTTCTAAATGCATATTTATCTGACTGTGCTTCTTTGACAGTCATTAAACACATCCGGCATGAAGGAGCACATTTCCTGCATAATGTATTTGCTTACACCTGTGTGTCCTGCAATATGAAACAGCAAGTGTGGGAGTGCTACAGTGAGGTCATTGTGTTTGCGAGCAAAGGGTGGGCTGTAATAAAGTTGAGTGGTTTAGGATTAGCCCGCTGTGCTGTGAACATGCTTGCGCACAAAGAGGAAAGCTAACATTGCACATGGCAACCCTTGCTGACCACCCACACGCAAACTGTACAATACCACAATTTGAAAGCTCAGAACAGCAGTTACGGGTAAACAATGAAACCATCACGGTGGATTAACAAGTGAAAGCCAGTGTTTTATATGTTAATTGTCCAAACGTTAGTTGAAAGGTGCTGTTGATATTGGTAACTTTGAGGCTAAACAGTAAGGTGGAGGCTGCGAACACTAATGAGATAATCAGCCAATTAAGAGTGTAACCAAGTTTCAAAACAAGACTGACAACATATTTACTCAGGGACTGAGCAGCGAGTTACAATATAGATTTAATCCAATCTACACAAAACTGCTGAGGGCATTTTTAAAGAATGACTAACAAACCACCACAGAAAGAAAAACATTATTTGGAAGGTGTGTAATTGTTCAGAAGGCTGTGCAATATTGCTGTAAGCACCTGAGCAATCTAATGCTTGTTTAAGATCAAGAGACTTTCCCAGGGAAAGCACCTTCTCTTAGTTTGCTTTCAGTTTCTCTGATATTATCAGAAGTTCTTTACTGCTAAAGCACCGTTTTCCAGTAACATGGTCATTGCAGTGCCAGATTATTCTCGTACTAAAACGGCAAGATACCTTGAGGCTAATTATTTCACAACTTGTAAAATTTTGTGTAATAACAAAAGCGTACACACCTGAGCTGTTTGTTCGGCCTCGGTAGACATCATCATAAGACTTCCATTGCTGAGTGACTTGATACGCATGGATGAAGATCACCAGCACCCCTACCAAACAAATGAGAGGAACCAGGGCGGCCGTACAAAGTGCAGCATATACGTTGGGAATGAAGCATCTACAAATAAAGACAAAAAAGAATATTGTGATTACACAAAGAGGATTGGTACTAAGGTTTATGGTTGCGTGTTTGTGTATTTAGTATTCCATGGAAGAAAGAAAGTGAGTAAAATGGGTTTGAAACGACATGATGGACATCCTTACGAAGTTTATTTCTCCTGAGATTCTCTCTTTTTGTCTTTCTCTGACTCTTCTCCTTCTATCTGAGGAATTTCTTCCAGTCGGCATTTGTTTTTGTCCTATATGCAGTTATGGAGTCTCTGGCTGGTATTCGGAAAGGAAAAGCTTTGAGAAACTCAATCCAGAGTAATCTTGTTATGACGTGATCTGTATCAAAATAAGCAGCAGTTGCATTCTGTTCACAGGCCTGGCATCTCTCTGGCCAGACAAACAGAATGGACAAACACAGCCCGTACTCATTTTATAGAGTGGAAATGGCACAATGTAGCCATAATACAATTCAAGGCATGTGAAATTCCTGCAGGAAAATAAACAGCCCATTTTTCTCTAGACTTCATCTGATCATAATTTTGAAACACTGCCTGGTTTAGCATAACATACTGTATATCTTCACATACATGCCACATAAAAACACATTTTTGAAATAACAAATAAACAAGCAGCTCAGTCTGTATGCACAAATCACGTTTCTAGTTTTGATACCTGCAAAGTAACTATGGTAACCCAACCAACATGGGGCTTCCTCTTCAATTACACTGCTTTTCAGTTCTTAGTTAAAGGATTATCAGGTATTTTATCTAGAGACTTAGAACATGTCATGCGATAAATGCTGTAAAAGACTAGAGACAAACACAAGCCAAACACGTCTATCCAGTGCATATTTACATAGAAAAAACTGTGCACGGAATGCAAAAACATTCTGTTTGAACAGGGCCTTACAAATGTTACACTCTGTATAGCTTTATTCTCATTGAATCAATACACTTATATTGTTAGCAATGGTTTCATGCACCAGAATATGTTTTTTTATATAATTGTTTTTCTCCAGTGTTGTTATTGTTAAATAAACTATTAAAGTATTAAATGTCTTTTTAGCTAATTGAAATATAGGCTAAATAAAATAAAACATAAATATTAGATTTAAAAAATAACTAAATCAATAAATAAAAAATGTATGAAAATTTGAAATGTTGCCTTGGCAACAAACGTAAAATATAAATAAATAAATAAATAAATAAATTAATTAATTAATTAATTAAATAAAAACTTGAAATAAGACCAAAGGTAAATAAATAAATAAATAAAAACAGAATAGAATAAAAAGGAAAATAATAATAATTACAAAAGCACATAAAATTACTTATGTACATAAAAATAAAAGCTAATTGATCTGTGGAAATAAAAACATGAAAATAACGTAATTTTTTTATAGAACAACAAATTATTTTATTTCTAAAAAGGAAATAGAAAAGTTGATTCTTCATAATATGACCCTTTTCAGAAACCTTGTAATGCTAAATTATGTGTGTTAAAATCTGACCTTTAAACTAATGTGCTTCTATTTCTACAAGCATTTGACTCCTCCCAGGCCGCTGAAGCCTTATGGGAAGGGAAAGGGCAAGAACTGCGGTGGCTTGTGAGGTGAGGTGACATCATTGGTTTGTTCTTGGAGAGAGAGATGTTTGGCTTTCATGAGTCAACTGGGAGTTTACTTGCTAAGAGCTGCTTTGAGACAGGGTGGAGAGGAGTGTCCGTAGTCTTCTGTTATCACTACAGGCTTGGCTGAGGCGAAACTGAACGTATGCACAGTCACAGCTTGTAACCTCATAAACACATAGGAGCTAAAAATAGCAGCTCTTCCCGACTTACCAATAACAGACCCCGACCACACACAATCAATGTAAACGAGGCAAAGAAGAGAGTGTATATGAGACAGAAAATTGCTTACAATACATTAACACAGGAAATGAGTAACTATGAGCCAAAAAAACAGCACCAAAATATGAGCATTTACATGTGAACATTTAGTTGTCCATTATGTCCCCCCATTTGGTTAAGCAAATGTAGCATGTGTGTGTGTGTGTGTGTGTGTGAGAGCGAGAGAGAGAGAGAGAGTATGAACTCACAGATCTCCTTGCACCAGGCCATACACACTATGAATGCTCCATCCAAAGCCTCCCAGCAGGACTACAACAAGAATGATTATGACCAGAGCAGGAAGTCCCCAGCTGAGCAGGAAGTAGAGAAGATAGCGTCTCTCTGTGTGCTCATCATTCATCACTAATATCTGCCAGAAGTTTATGGCCTGGGAAAGACAACACAAATGTTACTAAATACATAAATGGAAATATTACCGGTTTATAAACAAACCAGATTCATAAAAAAAGGATAGCTGATTAATGTTTTGACAAGACAACTAGGCACCAAGAACCAACTACCAAATGGACTTCTGTTGGTTATATGACCTCATATTATAATTCACTGCAACATCAGATATCACTGCTATCAATAACTAATACTTTCTTGCGTTCAGTTAGCCTGTTTCATTTTTGGGGATGAGGGACTTCAACTGGGAGTTTAACATCAACATACAAATCAAGTCCTGATGTGGCACCTACTTCCATCAGTATTATCTCCATAAATGGATAGGAACTGCAGCAACACTGTTTTGCTGTGCTGGGAACTTGAATAAGAGATGAAGAGAAAAGAGAAGCTGGCAGGATGTAGTATTATTTTTTAGGGTGTCGAAACTCTCTGCAATCCCTCTCCAGCCTCTTTGTAATTATGGAAGAGGTTGGCACCCAGCCATTGAGATTGCCCTGTCTCGCAAATTCCATTGATCTGGCGCTTTAACCGTGCCAATATAGGGAGTCTCTGTGATCTATTGAATGGCTATTTTAGCACAGACTGAAACATGAGTCCCAGTGCATAGGAAAGAACTTTTAGATCAATAGTTTTCATTGATAAATTGTAAAAGTAGGAGTGGAACATCTGTACTATTTCCATTGAAGGCTAGAATACAATACATGACATTTGCCCAGATTTGCAGTCTGAAGGACTCAACAGCAGTTGCCATCTGATGTCTAGTGTTTTAAAATCTGTTTGGATATTAAAATATGTGTATGTATTCCAGTCTTGAGCAAACAAAGACATAACTCACATAGTTTTAGCCCCAGATTGTCTCAAGGAATTGTGAAAATCAGGTACCAGCGCACCAACTAAATCTGTGGTGAACGCAATTTTTACTATACAATTCCACATCATGCAGGTCGGTTCTGAGTTCTAGATTGTAGAGGATGCAGACTATCATCATCTGGAAAACTTGCATTTACCTTCTAGTTAAACTGGATTGTGTGGTTACTGAATAAGATTCAGCTTTTTATAATGAAATATGGCTCAAAGTAATTAATCAATGAGAAAAGTGCAAACGAAACAATTATGTCACATGTAATTATCACATCACATAAATTACGCCAAGGTTTATTACAAGCTCATTTGCCAGCTGTTTTGAGACTGTTTTGAAATAAAGACAAGCACATGTTCAAATCATTCTCTGCAGGATGCAAATACTTTCCAGTCTGAATCATGATTTACCTTTTCCACCAAACACAACTTTTGTATGGTTTATTCCATGTGTGTTTTCATAAACTCACACCAACTTCTGCACATCAACACACTTACATACTGTCCTTTACACTTTGGTCCTTCCACAACTCCATAATCCTAAAACCTGTTTTTGTGATTAGCCAGTTAGTTTATTTTATGTTCTCTTGCATGATCTTTCAACACCCGTGTATCAAGTACCAATAGAGATTACATGCTCTATGTAAACAGCTAAGCCCCTTATGTTTTTCAGCGTCATTGAGGAAAACAAGATAATCCCACTACGTGAGCAAAACCGCCTTTGATTTCAAGAAGTTCAATTTAGATGAGAGGTTCCTCCAGGGTCAGTGCTCAGTTCTATGTCTTTTCAAACTAAAGGGAGAAATTCAATGCAACATGAACCCAGATGTTTGTGTTCTGTGTGGGTTTTTGAGGGATTAAAAGTCATGTTCTTTTTTCATTTCATTAAGCACGTTAGGGCCAAATCCTGTTTTTGCTTTCGAGGAACAAGACAACCTTCATAGCTTTGAGTGAGTTAACTTCCAGAGACAGGTTTCTGTGCTTAGAAGGGATTATCGTACAAAGAAAAGGAGAAGGCGAAAGGGTACAGGTCCAGCTAGATTTATAGAATGGATTTTTAAAAGGTCTCTGAGCAGCTATTGTAGGTGTGCTAGCACAACTGCTTGCAAAATCTCCACCAGAAGAACCACACGTAGCTGGAACATGTCAAGCAGCACGTAAGGTAAATCATGTGTTTTCTAACGAATTGAACTATGTGTATGAATCATGCCCATTCCTAAACCGACAATGAAAAGTTATGATGATCAAACATTATGATGAACAAGACTCTATTTAACCAAGAGACACACACATACACACACGTCTGGTTTGCTATCCTTGTGGGGACTCTCCATAGGCGTAATAGCTTTTCTACTGTACAGACCGTATATTCTATTGCCCTAGACCTAAACCTACCCCTTACAGGAAACTTTGTGCATTTTTAGATTTTCAGAAAACTTCATTCTGTGTGATTTAAAAAAAAAAAAAAAAAAAAAGGGAAGGGACATGTGGCCAAGTATGGGGACCCATACTCAGAATTAGTGCTCTGCATTTACCCATCCAAAGTGCACACACACAGCAGTGAACACACACAAACCGTGAACACACACCCGGAGCAGTGGGCAGCCATTTATGCGGCAGCGCCCGGGGAGCAGTTGAGGGTTCGGTGCCTTGCTCAAGGGCACCTCAGTCATGGTATTGAAGGTGGGAGAGAGTGCTGTACATTCACTCCCCCCACCTACAATCCCTGCCGGTACGAGACTCGAACCCACAACCTTTGGGTTATGAGTCAGACTCTCTAACCATTAGGCCACGACTTCCCATTTATTAGCTTGTTTACATGTTTACATGTTGTTTACCCGTGGGGACCTCAAATTAGGTCCCCACCGTGACACGAGTCCCCATGAGTCTGTGTATTCAGGTTTAAGTCCCCACCAGAATAGAAAAACAGGTACACACACACACACACAATTTTTGATTGTTTTATCATCACGCTCCCTAAGGTCGCAAAATTCTGGACTTTTGGTAGTACCTAGGATAGGAAAGTCCACTAAAGGAGGTAGAGCTTTTTCGCATTTGGCTCCCAAACTCTGGAATTTTATTACGTCTTAAATTGATTTTTCCGTACTGCTGGTTCATCTGGTCAGAGGAGAACTGGCCCCCCGACTGAGCCTGGTTTCTCCCAAGGTTTTTTCTCCATTCTGTCACCGATGGAGTTTTGGTTCCTTGCCGCTGTCGCCTCTGGCTTGCTTAGTTGGGGACACTTTATTTCCAGCGATATCGTTGACATGATTGCAAAGATATTATTTAAACTGAGCTGGATGTTGACATCACTGAATTCAATGATGAACTGTCTTTAACTGAAAAATGAGTGTTTACTATTGTCATTTTGCATTATTGACACACTATTTTCCTAATTAATGCAGTTCAGTTGCTTTGACACAATCTGTATTGTTAAAAGCGCTATATAAATAAAGGTGACTTGACTTGACTTGACTTTATGAAGACTCTCTATAGACATAATGATTTGTTTACTGTACAAGCTTTATATTCTATCCACTATGCTTAACCCTACTCCTAACTTAACCCTACCCTTACACAAAATATTATGCATGTTTGCATAAAAAAAATGTCAAAATGTCAAATATTTCAGGTATTACTATCCTTGTGGGGACATATGATCCCAGGGAATACCTGGACAGCACACACACATGCACATTACAAAACAAAATACTTGTTTTAGTAAGGCAACCTTCTTATACAAGCTTCCTGTTTATGGTGTGATATTTATGTGCAAACATTCCCTCATTTTCAGCAACAAGTCAAAACCAAAGGCCTTTGATATTTGTTGAATTCTCAAAAGCTCTTTTGAGAGTATGCCCCAATCATACTTACAAATACACATCAGAGAGAAAAAGTAGAACCAAGAAACTAGGTTTCAGATTAACTTCTGGAATTTCTTGAGGGTAAAACTTTTTCAGACAGTCTATTATCTGAAGGTAAGATATACCAAACACTATGTACTAAACAGTGACAATAAAGGTGTGTGACTGATGAAATATTGTGACATTTCTTTTTTACCTTCTGCGTAAGTAAGCTTATTGTTCAAATGAAAGTTTATGCCACACCTTCAACTGCCCTGTAAAACTTGTCTTCTGAAAAAGTCCTGATCTCACTTTCAAATACTTAAAGGGATAGCTCACCCCAAAATAACAGTTTTGTCATTATTTACTCACCCTCATCTTGCTCCAAACCTGTATGAATTGCTTTCTTCTGTTGAACACGATATAAGCTATTTTGAAGAATGTGAATAACCAAACAGTTGCTGGTATCCACTGACCATAGTATTTTTTTGAATACTATGGAGGTCAATGTCTACCAGCAAATGTTTGGCGACCAACATTCTTCAAAATAGCTTCTTTTGTGCTCCAAAAGAGGTAGGTATGAAATAGCATTTTAACAGATATTTCATTTTTGACAGATAATCATGAATTAAGGACTCTACCTCAACTAAATTTCATTAACGAAGTGGGATTAAGTATTTAGTGTGGTCAGTGCAAAAACCTGCTACACTGACCACACAGTAGATGAAAAAATAGTTTTACCTGTATGAGCATCCAGCTGAACTGGCTGAGGTGAAAGTAATGGAAGAAGAGGCCAAGAGCAGCACAACTGTCCTCTGAGAACATGCGTCCACGGAATGCAGACACCAGGAAACAAATCTGAGAAACACAGAGTGACAGATCCATCAGCAGAGGCCCTGGAGTCCTTATACACTCATTACCCAAATCACACATTCAGATGACTCTCAGCATTCAGTTCTATCACTGAGTCCCAAAAAAGCATCTCAAATGTCTATGACTGTTCCTAGATCATTTAAACTTATAATATTTTTGATAAATATTTGAAGAGCTGACACTGTCAGGTCTTGACCAGATGTCTAGAGGACTGTTACATCACACTGCAGAATGGACAGCCAAAAGAGCAACAGTTGCCAGATCACTGTGTGTGTGTGTGTGTGTGTGTGTGTGTCTACTGAGTGTTTAAGCAGATAGCTTAATTGTAAATTGTAACATTTTAATTTAAAAACTAACAATTTTACATACATGTTACATTATATTTTCTTTAAATCTAAAATGTAAATCTCAGAAATGAAGACATCTTTACACATGATATATACATGATTATATATTCTGACAGCTACATAGAATCTAGTTTCCTATTTACAGTTAACCAACTATAGGGCCTTTTTTTGGTGTGACAAGATATAATCCAAGTCCAAGGGCCAATGTACACTTCAGGAACAGTGCAAAACATATCAAACAAAAACAACCGGGTAGTTTTACATTGTCTGTGACCTCTCAGAACTGTATTTGTAGACACATAAAAAAAAAAAACTGGCAGACAACTCTCACATGGAGGTAACGGTCCATGAATACTGTGACCCTTTCAATACAAACAACACAGTGTTTTTTCACAGTGGTTAGAGTCCCTGTTGGGAAACCCAAATTAAGGGGAAACTGTGCCTGTGGAAAACCCATCCTGGCTGCTGAGTGAAGGGAAATGTGGAGTCATTACATATGGGATGGCATTAAATGGTACTGTTGGGATAAAAGTCAAGAGGACAGCGAGTGGTGTGAGAGGGAGGTGTCAGCGCAGGAAGGAAAAGAGGGCAGGGACGTCCGCAATGTGCAGTGTCCATCAGGTGCATGCTGGGAAGTGTGATTCTGGAGTGGAAATGTGGTACTGCTGCCAAAAAAACAAAAAATTCTATACTGTGTGTGTTAATTAGTACCAGGGTCATGGAATAATCTCATAAACAAACTCAAATAAAGCCTTGTTCGCTCAAACATATTCTTTCACAGTCTGTCATCATTTTAGTTTGAGACCTACATTTTACATTTTACAATATTAAGGGTTGTTTTTGAGGTTGGTACAAATCCTTTTTGGGTCTGTGTGATATTTACACTTACTACTGAACAGGACTAAGACGATTTTCATAAGAAAATAAGCCTGTGCAAATATCAAATATTTGGGGTTAGCATGCTTTTCTATATTTTTGAAAGAAATAATACTTTTATTCAGCAAGGACACATTAAACTGATTGAAAGTGTTGAATATATATATATATATATATATATATATCATATATAGTAATTTTAAGTGACCAATTTTTTACATTTTTAACTGATTCAAAATAATTTATCTACACATATCCTTCATAGCCTAATGTTACCAAAATACCAAAAGAAAATAGTTAGAAAAGGAAAAAGCTTGAAAAATTATGTATGGAAGCAGTTACTAGGATTGGCGGGGTTTAGCAAAGTCTCAGTTTTTTTCACAAAGCTTCTTCTGTGTCACAGTAAAAACACTCAATCACATTCAAACTCATTACAGGCTCTACAGTGACACCTTCATTAATGCACACCGAGGCAAAGCCCATGTTTTTTGTTCCTGTAGTCATCCCTGGGGCACCCACCTGTGAATAAACAGGGAGGAGATGCGATCGGGTTCCCATTCAATATGATCTGCTCACACACACCCACTCAGACGATCACATCAGTAACACTAGCTACTGATGGCAGGGGCGCCATCCCCTTCCTCTAATAACCTTTCTGGATGATTCTCTGCTCCACAATTGATCCAGCTGCCTTTTGTAACAAAATAGACATCCAGAAAGACTTCTGAAGCTAAAAGTAGCAGCTAAGTCAGTTCATCACGAACGACCCATTCAGTTCATACATCAATCCACAACGGGCTTATCACTGGCCCCTAGTCGACCATTTATCCTGCTGAAATGTGTATAAATACAAGCAACATGGCTCCAGGCAACAGTTCCTGATTAATAAGACATCAGCACCCCTGTCATGTGAAACGCATGGCCTCCGATGACATAACCAAAGCTGGTTGGGGGACAGCGGTTCATTCAGGGGCTTGAGATTGGAGAGGGGTGATAGAGAGCCACAGTGGAGATCAGAGGACCCTGTGTCTGGGACTTGTCTGGCCTGGAGACAGCCCTCAAGACCAGATGCACTTGATAATGTGGATCTGCTTATCCTTTCAGTGCAATCACTCAAACCCATAACAGGGAGTGGCAGAAAATAGACCATACAATCTGATATGCGTTGTGTTTATAGGACGGATGTACTGTACCGCGCTGTACCATAAACAATATGGGTGTAAACAGTACATGTGTGCAGGACAGCTCATGAGCTTATATCATCATGAGTTAAAAATAAAACCCACACCTGTGCAAAACCTTTGTAATATTTAATTTACACCTTGACTTATTAGTACATTTAATCTAAAGAAGCAGTGGGAAAAAAATGGATGTCAGAAAATGAGAAGTAAAATACATTTAGTGAGGTTTATGGAGTAAGTGTAAAATCTGCCAATGTAACAAAACACAATCTAACACATTTTATAGGTATATAGAGTAAAATGTCTATTAAAAATAAATAAATACAGCCAAATAATAATACTAATAAAGATTAAAATATTTAATTATTAAATACATTATTAGCCTACAATAAATTGTATTATATATATACTGTATATATACACAACAGTTCGTTCTGGTTCTCAAATCTGATTGGTTGAGAGCCGCGAGATATTGTACTGGTATCGCTACAGGAACGCCCTTTCACAATTTTGTATCACTCCACTTGTTCTAGCCGGGTCTATGTTTTTTTTCAATTATTCACTGAGCTAATCGTAGATTCGTAGATAATCGTCTAGCTTCGCGGTCTCTCTCTCATTTGGATGCACGTCTTGCCGCATTGTTTCTCTCTTATAACCTCATTATTTCTCACTAATAACCTGACTGAAGCAGCACATGCCCTTGATACGAATTCTAAAAGTGACGTATGTTTAACTGTCAACGTGAGCTTTGAATCCGTGGCGGAAGGAAGTAGTTCTGCACAAAAGAGGGTTTTATTAGGCACTCCGTTGTTTCTTTTTTAATTACACACATGTTCTGTTGAACTGTTGTATAAACGCAATATCACTCTCGTACTCGAGCGATACCGGCTCTATATCAGCTGCTGTGATTGCTCATATACACACATACACACAAAAAAAACAATACATACACACACAAATATTTATATAAATATTTGAACAAATATTTATATAAAATCATTTACTATAGGCTGGCGTTACAAACCAAAATCATGAATTTGAAGTGAATCTAAAATGCTTCATAAACATGTTTTATGACATAGAGACAGCAGATTATAATATTTTGTACTATGTCAGGTCAAGGACTGAATGAGGTTAGTTGGTTGCTGATAAGACAAAGAAACAGAGCTGTGTCAGGGCTGTCATTATGGAGACTGAGAGATGAGTCACTCACAGCATTATCAGCTTTCTAATGACAATGCTGGATTAGTGCCAGACAGTCCTACAACGCCACTGTCTTATCTGAATTAATGCCCAAGAAGACAGACATTCACTATTGTGGTTTGTTTGGTTTGGTTCCTTGTTTGGTTGTATGGATGTAAAATATGTGTTTATGTACAATGTATCTACCAACATCTATGGAACAAGACAAAAAATACATCTATATTCAAATGTAAATTGGAAAACAAAAATCTTAATATCTAGATTTACAGTTAAATTCAGGTAAATGTATAATTTTTAAGGGTGATTAAATATTTTTGCAGAGATAAAAAAAAAAAAGTAAAAAATTATATAAATTATATACATTTGCTTTTGCACTTGTTTCATCATGCTATCAGTTTAAATAATTCAAACAAAATATTCAAACATTAAACATTAAAGTTGCTATGGTAAGAAAGCAGCTGGGAATGCAAAGGTAAACAACATTTTTGCAGCTAATTCTCAGCTGACTTGGAGTCTCCACAGATACTATACCCGGAGGAAGACACTGAGCTTAAAATAGTCATACACCATGCATTAAAAACATTATCTTGACTGACAGGCAGATGACTGGGGAACCATGCATGTTGAAGTGAGAATGACAGCCCTGCCAGGAGCTGCAGACTAAAAGCTACTTCAACATGTGCACTAAGCTTCTTTGGTTAAAAAGCATCTATTGAAGGACAAATTAATATAAAACAACACCAATGGCTCAGTGATCGACTTGTCTGCTTTACGTATATTATTGGCCTTGAGACATCTTCTACATAATTCCAAACTCTTTGGTTTTATTTTATCTTACAAGAAAAAAAGTATAATAATTTCTAATAATTTCTCTGGGCAGCCACAAAGAATTTAATTGGCTTCTGTCAAACATCGCTCTATAACCATGCAGACATCCCATCACACAAGTTGGCAGGGAATGGAATTGACCACATTTCACTACAGTGTGAATGACGATAAACGTGTTGCCTCCTTCTCAAGTGTCAGATGCTGATTTGTAAGACATAATATCTGGAGCGAGTACCTGATCGAAGTAAAAATCAATTCACTCTTGCAGCAGTACGTATTGAGCTTAGAAATAGCTTTTCCAAGCTCAATATAAGTAATATTGGATGCGTTTCTGTGCTTCCATGATCATTAACAAAAAAAAACTTTACTAAAACACATAATGTGTGCAAGTGGATTATATAGACTACAAAGTTATTTTGAACTCCATATTTCCAATGAGCACAAATGTCTTTCTTTTTTTTATATATATAATTATTTTATAAGGATACCTGAGAAACAGGTCAATGCATTAATCTCTGCAGTGTGTTTTTGTGCAGTCTGCTGCACTCAG